GATAAGTCTGACTTCTTCCTACTCCGTTCAAGCATGTACTAGGTATAAGCAAATTGATAATGCATTTGTGGATATGTGTGAAATTATGTGTGTTGACATATTGACTGTCGTTACATGTTTGAAAGACTAAATCAAATAAATCAAATCAAGGTTTTGATTGCTCTCATAACCCTGGTTTCTGCTGAAAGGTCATTTTGTAAACGCTTCCACCAACAAGTCAGAATGAGTCTAAGAGCTAGTGGACCAAAGTTAGAGGCACAAGCATGGTACAAATCTAAGTTAAGTATTGCCTCACCTGTTGTTTGGTTTGTTTTGACATAAAAAAGAGAAAATATGCCCTGTAGTGAAACCTTTCGGAGGCACAGGTCTGAACCAGTTCTAGGCCAGAGCTTGATGTTAGTTCAGATCAGTTGCTGACTGTTAACAAAGGGCCGTGGCGGATGTTAAGAGCTTCACCGAACCTTTGTTCCTTGGAGCAGAAATAAAATCTTCATGGCTGGGTTTTGGGATCGAGCACCAGAACCACTTCGAGGTTTAGCGAGGACTGGTCAAATAAGGGAATTGGGATGAGTCCAATGATCGTCAGCCCTGTGACAGGGTAAATCTCAATCCCCTTAACTGTATTCATGTTTTTCTCGCTTGTCTTTTCCTTGTATATTCATCCTGCACACATAAGATGTGAGGAAAGAATATGAGTAAAGAGGAATCGAAGAAACGCGTGTACAGACATGAGGCGTCCATTCCTCTGATCCGTCATCTGAAGCGCTCAATCACCGACTGACTTCTGATGAAGGGGTGTGCTGGTCTGTGACAGACTTCTGCAAAGGCTGCTCTCATGTGTCCTTGCTCACGGCTCCTGCAGCAGCATCCTCTCTCCTCAGACCAGGAGTAAGAGCTTCGGGACTTCCTTCACGATGGTGGACTGGAACGATTTCCGGGTCAATCAAGGAGTGAGAAGTTCATGTGAAAGATATTCTGTTTCCTGCTAGGGATGATGAGGCCCTACCTTGCCCCCTCGTGGAAATACTTTTTAATCCTCCAGAAACACAAAGTACAGGATTAACTAAGTGAACAGTGAAACTGTTGTACATGTTGACACAAAGCAGGGGGATCAGCATCTCTGGACCAGTGCACGGTCACCTCAGTGCTCGCTTAAAGGCCCCACTGTTTTGATGCCAACAGAACCACGTCATTTGCAACTGAAGTCAAGTCAATGTGTTTGTCATATGTACAGGAAGGAAACATTTCCCTGCACAATGAAGTTCTTATTTTGCTGTCCACAATGAATGCCGAACAATAGAAGATAATATAATATAGAAGAGACAGGTTCCAGTTATTGAAGAGGTTGGATCAGAAGAATAAAGCTAGCATATGGGTAGAATAAGTGCAATAAAACATTGTAATGTACTACTGTCCTACAGTACCTCTACAGTACACCCATGAAACCGCACAGAATAAAATAGAATGGAATTCAGTGGAGTCATTGCGCTCAGTGCTGTGTTGATTTCAGCCTAAAAATAACTGAAGGGGCCTGGACTTTGTGTGTGTGGGTGTGTTAGTCCTCACTGATAATGATGATAAACAGTGGCAGAAGCTGCAGCTCTTTGGCTTGCTAATGTGGTGGAAGCAGAGTGGAACATTTCCATCTATCACTGTCTGTTGTGTGCAGTGCAGGCATCTGTTAAAGCCAATGGAGAGCTGGTGCAACTCTTTTTCTAGGAGGATTTTGGGTAATGCAGCACTCGGAGCGTGTGCCGTTCAGCAGTGTAATTGTGGTGTATAAGGCACATTACAGCCTCTGGAGGGCGCTATTGGTGGGCACCCTGTAAAAACAATGCAAGGTTCAGGCATAAGGCCTTTACCCACTGCCTTTTTGAAGTGGGACAGTACGTCTTTATGCCATCTTTTTTTGTGTGTGTAAGGTGCAAGGGCGGAATGGCTGGATCTAAAACGACTATAGATCTGCATTAAAAAAAATGACCTCTTGCAGTAAATGTTTATACAGTTAAATAGCAGACGAGGAGGCGGGGGTGATGTAGGGATCTGCAGAGGCAAGTTGGCATCAGTACAGGCTGCCATGAGCTGGTGTTCTCTTTGGAGCCCTGTTTATCTTCTTAGCCTGTATTCACATTAGCAAACTCACATTAGCCATTAGCAGCTCCTGTTTACAGAGTATCATGAATGTTCAGACATCTGTCACTGGGTCATTGTCATACTGAAGGAAACTTTAAAAATGGGATGATTGTTCTGGAAATATAAGGAATGTGTGTTTGCTATGGTTTCTAAGCATATTTATGATGGAGATAATACTGCCGAGACGTGCAAATCAGTGAATCTAAACATTTGTGTTTTGTGTCTCCGTGTTCAGATTTGACTGAGTTGTAACTCCAGAATGAGAATGGATTCAGGCTCAAATTGCCAGTAAGGCCGCGAATGGTGTCTTCTTCTTCTTCAGCTGACAGTCTACAGAACAAAGGAGAGAAGCGTGCAAATAGCAGAAGATGAGTGACACTCGCAAACGTATTTTAATAACAGACAACACAAAGGCATAAAGTAGAATTTGTAAAATAAAGCATCATATCATGAGGGGTCTACTAACGTTCTCCTTACAGTTGTATTCAAACTGTACATAGTTTTAGATGTTTGTATTTTAATGACTTTAATGTAAAATGTGTATTTGGGAATTTCTAAGGTTTAGTATAATAACATTTAATAATTTAAGTGATATAGGTGCACACACATACGAGTCCTAGGTAAAAACACTGCAACATTTGGCTCAGTTATAAAAGCTAGAGGTAGAACTAAATGAAGTCCCTTTGGGAGCCAGAATTCCCATCACTATTGTGCTTCTTGTTCTGTGGTGTTTTTTTCCATTCCCTACTGTCACTCCAAAGGGTCCCCCTTTTTCTTTCATGATTATTGAACGAACTTGTGTACAACCAGCATGGCTCATTACATCTTATAAGGATTAGGTGCTTATACAAAATACAAATAAGTGAATAAAGTAAATAAAAGTAAAGTACAATATTACAGTATAAAGAACTAGGGCTTGTTTTTAGAAATTATATTCTTCAGTTATGTTAAAGTTTAACTGAATTTTTGTTTTCATAACCTCGAGGGCTTAAACAAGAATCTCAGTGTGAAATACACAGAAACGAGGTCTTGTTGTTGTGTACTTTGACTTGTGTGTGTAACATTTTCTAAGAATAATGATGTTGATTAGAAAATGAACTGTAGAGTTGTCCATATTATGTCATTCTGAGTAAAGTCTCTGAGGTGATGAATCTTTGCTGTCTCTCCAAAGGGGATTATTTCCACCTGTGCTCCAGGTGTGATCTCTCATTGGTCCATTTGAATCTGATGGAGACAAACAGAGGAGAGCTCCAGCAACATTTCAGTGACTTGTCCTTTTTTTGCTGCTGTGTTGTTTAATTCACCTTCATCAGACTGAGAGGAACGTAATCGGGAAACAACCTGTAACCGGTAAGTTGTGTATCCTATACAACATATGTGTCAAACTCAAGGCCCACGGGCCGAATCATTTTATGTGGCTCTCTAAAGCTTAAAATGCGTATGGTTGTTTTAAAATAAAAGTCTCTGCTATTTGAAAACATACACTGACCTAAACTACATCTCCCACAATGCATGTTGATTTCGCGACCCGCGAAGTATTGGCATCCCGCCACTAGATGGCAGTGTTTAGCCTTCAGCATTTAACCAGCAACTTCCCGACAGGTGGAAATGAGAAATACCAACAATTAATCCCAAAATGTCCAAGAAGAGGAAGGTTGATGCAAATGGAAGGCAATTTAACGTAAGGTGGAAAAGTGAATATATGTTTCTGCGTCAAGGAGAAAACCCGTGTGTCTTTTGTGTCATGACGCGGTGTCGGTGGTGTACTACAACATGCCTGCATTTTGAGACCAAACACGGAGCTAAGCATGCTAAAGTTAGCCTCCAAGAACAACAACAATTTGTCAAAGAATTAAAAGACAGACTGCAGTTGAAGCAGGAAATGTGCAGAAAAAGGTACAGCAAACATTATACTGGCTTGATGTTATTGCCAAGGAAAAAATATGTTGAATTGAATTTTTCAAATTTATTTTATTGAGGAAAAAGTTGTTACAGTCTGTTCAAGTTCATATTTCTGGGTAAACCATTATCAGTTTTGGACAGTTCCATAAATGTTAGTCCTGTTTGGCCCGCAGCTGTGACTGTGGGTTAATTTTCAGCCCTTGTGATTTGAGATTGACACCCCTGCTATACAAGGAGTTATCATACAGGTGACTCCGTTTGTTACTGCGGTTGACCTGAATCCAGCTGTTGACCTCACCACGTTGTGCGCTAACATTTCTCACGTCTATCAGACAGATGTTGAGGCCATGTTACAGTGTTGTTGTGCAGATGCTTCAGCAAACAACATTTGGCACAAACGGACCACTCGCGGTGATTAAGTTTGGGAAGACTCTGGTAAAACTATCGTTTAATTAGTCGGTCATTGATAAAGCTAGTGATGTTCCCTCTGATACCGAGGCTCGGAAGCTTGCTTCAAACTCGGAAGGATATTTTTCTGAAGCACTGTGCCGGAGCTTGCTTCAAATCAGGAAAAACCACGTGACTGATGACGTTCGAACCACCTCTGCTTCATTCAGATTGAATCAGCTGACTGGTTTGGTTCAACAGGCGGAGCTTTAAAACATTGGAGCATCCCTTGTGACTGGGGGTGATAAACACTCCCAAACCCATGCTTCAGCCCTAGAGCTGCTTCCACCTCCTGCAGATCTTTGCTTTTGAAGTGGTCACCATTATCAATCCCCTTTTTTTTTTTTTTTTAGTAGCAGCATTTTTATTTTTTTTAGGTCATGAAGCGTTTCGACACATTACCAAACTTTATTGATACTGTGTCGATACTGTGTCACTGAATACTGACACCTGCTGGACCTTAAAAATCCCTACAGGCAACCTAGTTGACAGACTCAACTGACACTGATTTGATGACCTAGTATATACAATAATATAATTTAAGTCATTGTATTTTATATTGTATTATTTCATATCTTCATTTAAATTTAAAATGTCCTTGATATTTTTAGATACAGTCAATAAATAATGTGAACATGTATCATAACGTGAAAATCTAAATGAACGTGTTGTGAATGAGGATGCTTGTGGACTGGGATTTTTTTTAACAAATTTTTATTAAAAAAAACAAGTTTTTCCAACGTTTTGAAATTGAGTCTGTTACGCTTTTTTGATACAACTTCTCCAGCTGTAGAAAACACCCACTCACACGGCACAGATGAGGCTGGAGTGCAGAGAAATTGTAAGGCAAGTCGGAAGAGGTTTGGATAGATTGCCTTTTGGTTGTCCCAGTATCTCATAGGATCCTGGGACCTGGCAATATTGCCCTCTGCCAGGTATCTCTGCACCTCCTGGATGGCATCAGCTGTGGCACTTTTGGTCTGCCTGCCCCCTTCGCTGTCGAGATCTTGCAAAAGGTTATCTAAAAAAACAACAAATTGGCATTTCAGTACATGATCTCCAAACAAATAATGCTGAATAACATGCCTGAAGTGGGTGCAGACAGCTGTTGTGAAGACAATCCCGGCTGGGGCTCTTTTGTGCGTCCAATTACAGACCCACATTTTGACCGCAGCCTCTTGTTGGCCT